AAATACATGCTGAGTCATCGTTTGCCGCCATGGGTTTTCTCTGCCACGGAGCGCTTCTGCTCGTGTTGTTGCTGCGTTGGATTTGACCTTGTCAAAATTTTCTGAACCTAGGTGTGGTGGATTCCAGTCAATTTTGTCCATTGATGAGACGTAGTCGTTTGAGTTGGGTGTTGGTTCTGCCTGTTGTTCAAAAACTGATGGGTGATCGGTTCTGTATACTTTGGTGATCTGAGGTTTAGGTTTTGCGGAGTCCGCAGCCACAACCACCCGAATAGGTCTTGAAGGATCCCATGGAATTTTCTCGCCATTAGGAAGGTAGAAATCACGTCCTTCTTTCTTGACTAGTCCTTCTCGTTCATCTTTTTGTGCTTTGTAACACATTATGGTTGAATGTCCTTCCTTATGACAATAGTAACAGGGTCGAGGTTCATAAAGTCGTCCAGATGGTCGATCATTTCCACGAGAATATTCATTTTTAGGTTGATTCTCCAATTTTCCTGTGAGTGACTCAATTGCTTTTGCCAAGCTATCAACCTGTTTCTGAAATACTTCCGGAGGATTGTCATCCATCATCTTCTCACACGTTTTTCCATCGCCTTTCTTCTGGTCCAGAGTCCTTTGCATCGATTGGTTGGCCTCGGCGAATCCACTAGCTGCAAAGACATTGAGTGACCTTGCTCGAATTTCATCCTCAGCTACATCAATTACATCCGAAAGGAGGGGTGGTTTGTTATAACCATCCTTCCCTGTAGGAATGAGATCTGCCTTGACTAGCTCTCAATTAATGCTCGTCTGTATATCTGTTGAAAAAGCTAAAAAGAAAAGGTGAGAGACACTGGTTTCATTTACTATATGTTCATTTCTTACCAAATACTTAGTTATTATCATGAACTTTGACTGATAAGTTTTGAAATCGTTCAGCTGCTTGATTCCGCCTTTCTTCTGACAGAAATCAATCAAATTGTAAAGGTCCTTGATCGTGTACCGAATCTTCTTTTCCACGCCTCCCCAGACTTCTATCATGCTTGCACGAAGAAGTGTCCAGTTCCGCTGCTCGTATCCGTCCATCGATTCCAATTCCTTCTTCAATTCTTCTACCTTCACAAATCTATATACAAGACGTGCTTTGTCATAGCCGCCAGCACCGTAGATTTGTACAACCAGTTCGAATCGTTCCAAAAAGTCTTCAAAGTTCTCGCCTTCATATCTTAAGTCTGGTTCCTTGATGATGACTGCAGGTCTAGGCATGAGCTCGTCCATTCCTGAATGTCGAGGTAAAGCCGTAGATCCGCAGGGTAGTTTGTTTGTTGAGTGTTCCAGAAGCAAGCTGGGTTGTCGTTTTGTTGATTGTTTTGATGAGCCCCATACCTTTCACAATAGTGCCGTACTCGAGTATGACTTGTTCGTATTGGTGGTGGGGGTAAAAGAGGTGGTATTATTGGTGGATCAATA